GAAAAATGCAGAGAATAGGTATACAACTATTAAACATTATTAAATGAACTAACAAATGGATGAAATAAAAATGAAGATTATTTAATTTGTAATTGTTTTATTTTAATAGTTTAAAGACATTTTAGCTGATTTCCTAATTGCTAACTATTTTTACTATGAGTGATATTTTCAAGTCCATGCTAGGCAAAGTCTACTCAATGAATGTACTGTTAATGATCCCAATACTCTATGCATTGAAGATGGCTCTGATTTGCTATCAAAAAGCATATTCCCCAGGTGTGTTGATGCCAGAGAACAGGCTTGGTGGGAATCCATGCTCTCACTTGGTGACTAGGGGTGTGACTGGAAGACACTGGAGGGATACAGTCAGGCATGGATCCAAAGTTAACTAGTCTCCATGATAAATGTTGAAACTCTCCTGAAGACAATAAATAGGCCCATGCTTTTCTCCAATAAAAACTTTATCTTTTATCTAATAAACTATCAGCAGCCAAACCACTCAAATTTAAAAGTCACCCAAATTGTGCATGTGTTTCACCCCACGAAGGCAGATCAAATGTGCCTCATTTTGAGGAATATATGATGGGAAGTTTTGCTGTTTCTGAGTGACCTTGAGGTGCAGCAAAGGGAGTCACTCACTATACCACTGAGAGGAGCAGTGACAGCGTCTCTGGGACAACCACAAAGATGGGTTTTCATTCACTACAAGTCATGAAGTGCAAGGTCTGCTGGGCAACCAAGCAGTTGTCTAGTATTTTACCATTCTGAATGGTTCCATGTTTCAGATGATCATGTCTGCATGCTTGAGGAAATAGGAATTAGAAAATTTAAAGCAGGAGACTTTGGACTAAACCTCAAGTTAGACCTAAGCAAATGTAGAAAGACTCTTTAGATGACAATACAAAGATTTATTTGTCCTATTTTTTGTTTGTTTGTTGCTCTTTAAAAACAGTAACTTGAACCTCCACACTTAGACCTGAGGCACAGCTCATCTGGTACCAGAATGCAGATGCTGTCATAGCCTAATGGACACTAGGTATTAGAAATCAGAGTGCAGTCTTTGAGGTTCAGAATGAATTTCCAAATAACATTAACAGGACTTAATGTTGCATCCCTGACTTTTGACTTTTGAGCAGATAGGGAATGACTTATGTTGGAATATTCTTTTAGTCATTCATATCTGATTTGTTAGACTCTTAAGAAGATGCCTCTTTACACAGACTCAGTTATGACTATAATTTCTATTTGAATAAACATTTAATTTATCAGAAATTTGGTTCAATACAATATTAGTAATACATTACTATTTATTTCAAAACTAAGGCCTCAAATCTCATGAAATTTGCTAGAACGGATTATAAGCAAAGGATAATATCAGTTTGGTGAAATTATCTATTATTTTATTGCATAGATAATCCTTTCCTGCACAATTTAATTTTCATGACAAAACTCTTTTTTTTTTTTTTTTTGTTTTTGAGTTGGAGTCTCACTGTCGCCCAGACTGGAGTGCAGTGGCCGCTCCTGGCCACTGCAGCCTCGACCTGCTGGGCTCTGGCGATACTTCCGCCTCAGCCTTCCAAGTAGCTGGAACTACAGGCGCACGCTACCATGCCCGGCAAATTTTTTGGATTTATTGTAGAGATGAGGTCTCACCTGCCCAGGCAGGTCTCAAACCCGCGGGCTCAGGCAATCCACTCACCTCAGCCTCTCGAAGGCACGGGATTACAGGCTGAGCCACCGAGCCCGGCAACAAAACTCTTTTTAAAAAAGATTTCAGAATTGGAATCTATCTGCCAGCTATGATTTTTAGATCTGCTTCTGAATTAAAGTGAACAAATAAACAAAAGCACAGACCCGTCAGTTGAAAAAGAATCTTTCATTGCATTTGAGGAGTACAGTTTCCTTACTAAGGCCTGCGCTCTGTAAAATTCAAGAACAAGACTCCCAATGGGCTGTCATTTCCACTTCCCCTGGGGGCCTTGAAGGAGAATCTTTGGATTTGTAAACACCTTTAAAACTCGGGCTCGGTGGCTCAGCCTGTAATCCCGCGCCTTTGGGAGGCTGAGGTGAGTGGATTGCCTGAGCCCGCGGGTTC